GAGGCACCTACTTTTCCAGCCTTGTCAGCACCTGTCACACGCACACTCAGCTTTGCGGAAATTATGGGCATTCTGTCGAAGATTTCTGGGGAAGTAGAAAGCACATGAATCGTTACTGTTCAATCACCCACTTCCCACACGCAACAATAGCTCATGGGTACCACAGATAACTTTGCCAAAGTTCTCTGACAAAGTTGAGCACACGTGAAGCTTGCAGCTCCCACTACATCGCTCTGACCAAGAAGGGTAAAAGAATAGCAAAGAAACAACAGCACTAACAAAGTTTAGACACATAAATTTTGAAGGTCTAGCTACCATATTATTACCCACAAGGGTAAAGGAACAGTACCACTGCTGGATAATTGGAAAGTCCCGGTGTGTCAACCTCTGTGCTTCGTGGCAAGGTAGACTAGCAAACATGCCCAACCTTTACTCACATTCGAGAAAACACTCCCAACAAGATTGCTTGCTCCAAAATCGAAGAGGCACCGCCCTCCGAATCTCGAGAGCCAGACTCCCAACATGATTACTTTCTCAAAAATCGAAGAGACACCGCTCTCCGAATCTCGAGAGCCAGACCCCCAGCAGGATTGCTTTCTCAAAAATCGAAGAGGCATCGTTCTCCGAATCTCGAGAGCCAGATCCCCGACAGGATTGCTTGTTCAAAAACCGAAGAGGCACCACTTTCCCAACTTCAAGAGCTGGATCTCCTTGGATAAAGCTTGTCTGTAATCTTCACACGCAACATCAGCTTTCCAGATACCACAGACCACTTTTTCAAAGTGCTCTGACAGAGTTAAAACATGTGAAGCTGGCAGCTCCCACTACCGTGCTATGACCAAGCAGGGTAAAGGAATAGCATTATTACTTGATGTTAGGGAGACTCCTATATATGTCGACCTCCATCCCCAACGGACAGGCAGACCTGCAAAAATGCTCAACCCTTTCTCTTATCTGAGAGGGCACTCCCAACGAAGCCTTTCGAAATATTCAGCTTTCTTTCCCCCCGATAATACCTCTGTAAAACAAGCTATACTACTAGAGCAAGAATATCTCATATCATCAGGGTTAAAAGCAAGAGTATCCCATATCATGCTTTTTCCCTGTCTTTTCCTTTTGGCCTTGTTCTTACCTGCAAGACAAGGAGAAAGAGAGCAATCAGTCAGCACTTGGAATCAAGCTTCCAGCCAGGAACTGACTGCCTGGAACCCCTTACCTGATTACTTACCTGGCATTGCTCTCGAGTACTCATCTTCAACATCTTATGCTTCCAGGGAAGATACCGCATCTGCCTTGAGGAACAGATAGGGCAAGTGAGAAGGATACAAGGAAGCATGTGGAGACAAGCGTAACAGCACACGTGCCGATACATCCACTTACTCTGTCAAAAGCAAAAGTATCCCATATCAGCAGGGTCGAAACGTACTCTAGATTTGATGGACTTGTTTTGACCCTCAAATTCTTCAGTCGGCCTTATACTCTGGAGGAAACCAGAAAACCCTCCAGCCCAGTTCAAGAATAAGCCTGTGGAAAGTTACTTCTTCAAAAGCAAAAGTATCCCATATCATCTCTTCTCATTTTTCTTCTCTTTATCCTTCATGCTGCCTGCAAGATAGGGAGAATGTGAACAATCAGCCGGAGCTCTGATTGCTTACCTTGTCTGTCACCTCTTTCAGCAGATCCCCTAGCTCGGCGACTTGGGGGACTCCTACTACATGGTTTGTATCGCGCTTGACCAAGCCTGAAACTACAAGTAAGCTTCAAGTGAAATTGATACATTTACCTTGTGCATCTCCACCAGTTACAAGATACCACCCCTGGATGGAGGAAGAGTACTTCCAGAGAAGATGCCACATCTACCTATGAGACAGATAAGGCAAGTCAAGACGATACCACACTCCGATACTTAGAAGTTTCGTGATTACGAGATCATTCTCCCACAATATTTCCTAATGTCATTTGTACTAAATCATTCACTTGTACTCACTAAAGGAGAGCTTGAACCTATGTACTTGTGTAAACCCTTCACAATTAATGAGAACTCTTCTATTCCGTGGACGTAGCCAATCTGGGTGAACCACGTACATCTTGTGTTTGCTTTCCTATCTCTATCCATTTATATACTTATCCACACTAATGACCGGAGCAATCTAGCGAAGATCACAAAAAGTGACCGTTTTCGCTACCTAGGATCTATCTTGCAAGAGAACGGAGAATTAGATGGAGATCTCAACCATAGAATACAAGCTGGATGGATGAAGTGTAAGAGTGCATCCGGCGTGTTGTGTGTGACCGTCGTAGGCCACTGAAGCTCAAGGGAAAATTTTATAGGACGGCAATAAGGCCAGCGATGTTGTATGGCACAGAATGTTGGGCGGTGAAGCATCAACACGTACACAAAATGGGTGTAGCGGAGATGAGGATGCTTCGTGGGATGTATGGGCACACGATAAAGGATAAGATTGGGAATGAGGATATCCGAGGTAAAGGAGGAGTAGCCAAAATTGAAGGAAATATGAGAGAAAATCGGTTCCGGTGGTTTGGACATGTGCAAAGAAGGCCTACTGACGCTCCGGTTCGAAAATGTGACTACGGGACAGAGGTTTAGGGCCGAAGGGGTAGAGGAAGACCTAGGAAAACTTTGGAAGAGACCCTAAGAAAAGACTTGAGTACTTGGATCTAACGGAGGACATGACACAAAACCGAGCGCAATGGCGTTCTAGGATTTCATATAGCCGACCCCACTTAGTGGGAAAAGGCTTTGTTGTTGTTGTTGTTGTTTGTATTGTTCATTAATCGAGATTCTAATTCAATTTTTATATTTCTTTTGCGGGCACTTGTGGGGATAAAGAAACAATGAGACTTTGTGATTGAACGTGCCAAAGCTTTAGAGTGTTCAAAAGCTTAATTTTGGATATTTGTTGGAGGCTAGTTATTTTTTTGAGATTTGAATAATCTAGTATTTAAGAGAATGAGTTTTTGGAAGCTTCAACTTTATAATCATATGGAGTTTGATTTATTTTAATTTTTTGTTTATATTTCTTAAGTAAGAACTGCGTTGGGTTTATGGGAAAAGTATGCTGAATGCATGAATTTTCTTTTCAATATGCTTTGGTTTGAGAAAAGAAAACAATTATGGAATTTGAGCAAAGTTATGAAAAATTCTATTTTGATTTTCAACTTATTAAAAGTACGGGGAAATTGATAAATGGGTACGAGATTGTGTACGTTTACTTGTTTATAAATAGTTATAGTATAAGATAAAATTACCGAACAAATAAACACTTATACAGATAATATTATGACGGTTGTGAATAATCGCACCCACCTGCTATAACCATTGCCGTCCCATGACATGCTCTAACCCCGACTCATTTCGTCTCCACAAATTCAATTTGGGCTCTAATATGGAGTCATTGAGCCGGGTCTCTATTCGTCTTCACCCGAAAAGCCCAACTGCACTTTTCATTTTTCATTTTTCATTTTGGAGCCGTACGCTCATTTGGGCGGGAAAATCACAAAGCGAAATCCGACATCCCCAACTCTCCGATCGCACTCTCAGAACTGAACCAGCAGAGGCCAGGAACTGGAAGAGCTACCACCCCATTGCTCCGATGGCTCCGAGAAAGAAACCCATTTTTTCCAACAAGACGTCGTCTAAAAAATCCAAGTTCGGCATCCAACATTTTTTTGAGCGCCACACGCAAAACTCTCAGAAACCCAACAACGTCGCCGCTTCTGCCCCTCCTCAGAACCCTAAACCCCTTGCCGCCGCCTTCTCTTCCACCGTTGCTACAGAACAATTGGTTCCGGAGATCCGAAAGCCTGCCCAGATTGATGGGGGTAATCCGGTTTTAGTTTCGGTGAATGATGAGGTTCGGTCGAATTCAAAATTGGGGAATAAGAACAGCATGTTGCAGTACACGCCGCCAGAGAATTTGATGGCGGCCAGAGTTGGTGGTGATAAGGAGAATGTTGACGGTGAGGCCTCGCCGGAGATCTCAAAGTCCAAGTCTATAAAGCGCTTCAATTTTTAACCTGGAATGGTAAATTCTTAGCTTCAATACTTTACAGTAATTGTTATTTTAATTTCTGTACTGTTTCTTATTGAAAGATAATTTCTTTAGGCTACAATTGATGGAAATGCTTGTGTTTTACTTGTGAATGCTTGAGCAATGCTGATTTTAGTTATATGTGTGGGCGACATTTACCGTTCTCATTGCTGTGAAGATTTTGTGTTCTTTTCTTTCGTAATTTGATTTTGGGAGTTTCGGTATGTTGATAGTTGATAAAGCAGAGCCAGGATGATGGAGGTGATGTGGTTAAATGGAGGGTAAATGAAAGACTCCAAGTTGTTTCAAAACGCATGCCAGAGAGTATTAGAGTGTTGGCAGACTCTTCAAGGCTTAAGTCTTTAAGCATTAGGCAATGCTCGCAAAACAAGGCTTGTTTATTTGTTAGCTTTTCCCTTTTTTTTTTCATTTTTTGTTGTTGTTTGTATTGTTGTCGGTGCTTAATCAATGATGAAATGTACAGACTTCTCCGTTTGAAGCTGTAATGGTTGAGAAGAGGCTTCCCTCACCAACATCGAATACTTCTGATAGATCGTTGGTATCCCTGAATAGGGTTGGTGTAAAAAGAGTTAAACCACTGGGGGTGATATGACTATCCCAGGAATAGCTAGTAGGCAGAGTCCTTTCCGAACTCCACCTTCTCTATTGTACTTCCATGATAAGGTAATTGTACTTTCATAGTGAACTGGCATAATTATTTATGGTGTTGTCTGAACAACAAATTCATGTAAATGGTGAAAGCAAGACATTCTAATCAACTGGTGACAGAAAAGGGCACAAGAGAAAACAATAAAAAGTAAAGGGAAAAAAGAAGAAGAGATTTGAAGAATATTCTTTGTCAATTCTTCATTACAGTCAGTACATATGAAGAATATTCTTCCGATATCCTTTTTCTGTCTGCTAAGTACAGGGTGTAGAATCATTTTTTAATGATTGACACTGTAACTGCAACGCAGCTTGCTAATGGTGTTGCATGTAATGGAGTTTCAGATCAGATGGGGTTGAGGCAACATAAAAAGGTTTGAATCAATCAAATTATCTACTTGACCAAATTTGAATCATGCTATGATGCTATCATATTTAGATAACTCAGTATTTATGATCTATATCCCTTTTCCTGATTCAATTAAATAGATTATCTCATCAGTTATGCGTATAAAAAGCAATTAATCAGTTCATTTTTCTAATCTGCAAGTTCAATTGGACTTGATCTCTGTGGCTGGTATGTGTCAATTTTATCTTCTCACGCTATGGTGCTAATTAGAAATCCTTTTGGCGTGTTTTTCTATTGTATTAGGCATTGCTTGAACTCTTAGATAAAGTGGAAGATGTTATTTCTATTGAAGATTCAGTGTCTAGAGATGTGGAGGAATCTCCATTTCAAGTTGAAGATAAAAAAGGCAAAAGAATGCCTGTCAGTTTGGATAACACAGTGAAAAGAGCAGAGACAGCTCTAACAGAAACGGTTACTCGGAAATCTTCCTATTGTAGTTTTCTTGTATTGGAGGTATGGGTTACTAGTTTAGTTTCTCTTTGATGAAAGAATAGTGACCTTCCTTAAATAGCAATTTTTTTCGTCTTCTGCTATAGGTATCTGAGAAGAGTGGAGATGCTGATTCATCATGTGATCAATGCCTGTTTAAGGTTTCTAGTAAGCAAAATTTTAAATTATTACTTTTATTCTGTAGATTAGTTATGGTAATATAGATTATCCCATTAATTTGCAGGTTATTTGGTTACGAAATGAGCAAAGTGGAGAAGAGAGCTCTGTATATTTACTAGATGAGTGGTAAGTTCAGGATTTTCTTGTGTTGCAGCACATTAACAGTTTATTGTTCTATGGAAGTCATTTTCCAGTAATGTGGTACAGTCCTACAATTTCTTACAAGTATTATTTAGAATTTGGTTGTTTTTCCAAAAATAGAAACGCACATTCTTTGCAATGGGTGATCCTAGCCTCTTGTAGATGTATATTTGAGAAGCATTGTCCTTTTTATTTTTTTGGATTTTTGGGTGGGTGGGGCTGGAAGAAGGCAAAAGTTGTATTTGTTTTGGCTGTAATTTGGGTGGTTTGATTAGAGAAAAATGGCACAATTGTTGAAGATAGGCTAGGGGATAAGGTGTCATCTTTGTGGTCCTTAGTTTCCCCCCTTTTTTAGGAACATTCCTTTTAATATTCTTCATCTCGATTTCGGTCAGCTGCTGTGAGATAATCTTATTTTTGACCATTTGCAGTCAAACTTTGTACTTTTAATTTGGATGTAATAGGCTACGTTTGTTTATTTTGGTCTAGATTGCGGACCTCTGGTGAACTGCTTGGCAAAAATCATATTATTTAACTTTACCATAATGTCTTGTTTTCTGTATCAGATAATAGCATCTTAGAGATTCGTACATTTGGGGTAATGTTGAATGCTCTTGGTTGGACAACAAGACTAGTACATAAAAATTCAAATTCGTCTTGCTTTCGAAATACGATTTTAATATTGTCGTTCTTCTAATCTCCATTATTTTCTCAGGTTTTACAGTGTCATTGCTCCTGGAGATACTGTCAATGTTATTGGTGAATTTGATAACCAAGGACAGTGCCAAGTGGATCGTCACAATAATTTTATAATTGTTCATCCGGATGTTTTGGTGTCCGGAACTAGGGTACTACTTCTTGCTTGTTCAGATATTCTTCACATGTTATTGACAATGTTTTTGTTAAGATTTCTCTGATCTTTTGTCAGTAGTTTTTTAGTTATTATTGCCCTACTTAGTCCTAATAATTTGAAACACTTTTAGGTTACAGCTAGCTTCGTTTGCCCGAGGCGAACTGTTCTGGATGAAAGACTAAAATCCAATGAGCATTCAACTGCAGCACTAAGTGGTACAGTGTTGCACTAAGTTTTTGAGGATTGAAAACTACCCTATGACCTTGTAAACCTTTTAATGTATTAGGATATTGTCATGCGTCTTTTTCCCATGAAATAATTTGTAATATTTGCCCATCTATACCGTGTGAAATTTCTTGGTTTCTGCAGGCTGGACTTATGAAGGAGATACCTACACTAACTTTTTTAGAGGAACGCACAAGAGTGGTGCTCCAGAAACACCTTGAGAACTTGTATGCTTGTGGAGGTTAGAATTTTTAAGATATTACTTTGAAATAATTTCTATTTTCTATGCCACTATAATTCAGGTTAATTTGGGTGGCACTAGTTTTCTTAACGTTTCATCAGTCAGTTGTTTGGATCTTAGTCAAGCTTCTCTTCTCTTTCATGTGGACTTTGCAGGGAACAAAAATGATATGTACAAAACATTGATTGAGGCTGTACCCAAAATATTGAATTGGGTTAACCTCTTCAAAAATTCTCAGGTGCACCCATTTTTGTTTGTATTGATTTATTTATTTTTTATTTTCACAATTAAGTGAAGAATTGTTTGACATTTGCACCTTAAAGCAACAGTAAAAAGTTGGGTTATATTCTGAGGCTAATGGTATTGTGGCAGGATTCAAAAGCTCCTTCTGTTAATTTTGGATCTGACAATGGGGTGAAAAAAGTCAAATTATCTAAGGCAAGGCATCGCACTTGGCCTACTTGTAGATAATTGGTTGTTCTGTGTTATAAAATTTTTGCATCCATAGATGTGTTTTCAGTGTATCTATCAGTTTATGGATCATTTACATGGGATTCGTGCGCCATAACCACTTATCTGGAAGCCTGCATGACTTGCTAGTTTGAAAGTTGACTGTTTTTCCTGTTACTGCAAAATATTTTACATTGCATGCACCCTCCTGAAAATTACTGGTTTTATTGTAACATATTTACCTTGCAAGTAAATGCATGATGGGCGTTAAAATGGGTTTTTCTGCTTGTATCTGCCAGTCGAAGGTATACCTGGTTAGATGAAGTTTGTGCTTGTAAACATTGCAATTGTATATCATGTTCTATTCTATAAGTCACGTGCACTCATTTCAGGAACATTAGTTCATCTCTGAACTGTATCCATTTTCTGTAGGTAATTGATATTGAGGAGATGGCCTGGGCTCCAAAATATGGTTTGAAAGGCCAGATTGATGCTTCTGTCAGAGTGAAAGTTGAATCCAGCAATGGTGAATCTCATGGGAAAGTTATGCCTTTAGAGTTCAAAAGTGGGAAAGTACCCAAGGGCCAGGCAAGAATAAACTAGTTTACTGAAACCTGTCTAGAATGATATTAAACTTGTCATGTTTATCATTGTATTAACTTATGTTGTTTAAAGTTTCTCTGTTGAATCTTGGGTCATGGTTGTTACATGTGCAGTCATCTATGGAGCATAGTGCCCAAGTGATCTTATACACTCTCCTCATGTCGGACAGGTAGTTATAGTTTTGTTCATCTCTATTTTTTTTGGTTTCCAGGGGGACCAGGCCCTTTTACAAGTCAATATTGATATCATTTGAGATAACTTTGTTCCATCTACTATGCGACTCTTGTATTCATGTACCAGAAGCATGTCGATACTGGTCTCCTATGTTATCTGCAATCAGATCAGACACAGGTAGTATGGAGTGCACCTGTATCGTGTATTTAGTCTTTAATGAATTTATTTTAATAAAAGAATAAAACAGGGAATTATGGCTAGAAGATCTGACCTGGTTGGTCTAATCATGCAACGTAATGAACTTGCAAATGATATCCTCAAGGGGTCACGAACACAACTACTGCCCCCAATGTTACGGGTACGATGGTTGCTGTATTATGAACATTATTTTTTTCAGGAAACTCTTTACTGGACTGATATTTCAGATCAGATTCTTTCTGTTTTTGTTCTTTTTTCGTGCTGTAGTGTCAGCATTTGCGGAAGTTGTCGCCATCTAAATGTTTGTACTGTCTATCACAAGGTAATTGTATTATTCTTGTAAGGTTTTGTGTATGCGTGGATAGTCGTTGCTAACTAGGAGAGTAAACAATTTGTTCCTTCATAAATTGTTCGTATTCATCTGCTCTTGGATACCTTCAGCTTGTAATCTTGCGGGCCTCTGTGTGTGTGTGTGTGTGTGTTAATGAGATTCTTTCAAACTTTTGCCTGCTCTTGTCAGTGGAGGTGCAGCATTGATTTTCCCTTTAAATGAGACTTTTAAGTAGGTGTTCTACTCTTGTTCTCAGTTCCTGTTTGATTTCTGTTACTATTTTACTTGATTATTCAAAATAATATACTGCCTAATGCAAACAATCTGTACACCAATTTCGTCACGTGATATTCGCATGACTGATTAATTATTATTTGAATCCTTGAAATCTCCATGTCATCAGTAAGTTATTGAAACCATTCCTATTGACTTTTTTTGCACCCCCTGCCATTTAGGCCTCTGAAGAAATTGACTGATGGAGAACCTTAGTTCTACTTTATGTTTCAATGCAACCCTTCTTCAACAAAAGATGTAGATTGCACACTGAGATGTGGTGATTTTGTGGTATGTTCTACTTTCATAATGCGGGTTTTTGGTAGTTCACATGAACGCTGATTGTTTGTACTACTTTTAGCATAAAGTTGTTACAGCAGTTGTGCATTTTATGTACTCGAAGTTGTTTCCCTGGATATGTCCGGACTATTAAAGAACATGTAATGTTCATGATTCATTTATCAAGAATCTTTTTTTCTCTGGCGTGTACTTTTACCCTAGTACATCTTCTGTTGCATGACTGTTTATTGCTCTATGGATTTAGATATGTAAGATGATGGGTTCTACATTAAGATTTTCAGATGTTTTATTAAGGTGTCGAGTGTGTAAGTAGTTACGCTTGACTGTGTTTTCTGGCACCTCTTCCTTTGATATTTGATAAACATAACAACAATTATGGGGTATTGACTTGAGATAAATAAACGTATTAACAATGTTAGAACACAACTTCTAGCTATGGAATCAATCTGATACTTTATCATATGTTTCATTGTTTTTTCCTACACATGCAGGCGCTTCCTGTAAACTGTCACTGCCTAACAATATTTCAACAAAAAGGAAAATCAAAGCCTCTTCTGCCCTAATGCCTTCCCTCCCACAATCACTGGAGGTTTGAATTCTTTTTCTTTCCTGGATGGAATTTGTTTGTACCATACTTGACCAATCCCGAAACTACCGAGCACCGGCCAACGCTATACTGTCAAGGACCCAGAAGAGTTCCCCTCCGACCAGGAGGCCAATCACTACTCGACACGTGTCAAGATTAGAAGCCAATCAGAGCGCAGCACGTGTCAACATCAAGAACCAATCATAACATGACACATGTCAATGTGACAAAGCTACAAGTTTTTCTATAAATAGGGGTCATTCCCCCACAATATGGCCTAATGCCATTTTGTGTTAAATCATTCACAAGAACTCACTAAATTGAGAGCTTGATCCTTTGTACTTGTGTAAGCCCTTCACTACTAATAAGAACTCCTCTACTCCGTGGACGTAGCCAATCTGGGTGAACCACGTACATCCTGTGTTTGCTTCTCTGTCTCTATTCATTTACGTACTTATCCTCACTAGTGACCGAAGCAACCAAGCGAAGGTCACAAAACCTGACACTTTCTGTTGTACCAAAGTCTTCGCTGATTTTGTGCATCAACATTTGGCGCCGTCTGTGGGAAACGACACTTATTCCTACTCTCTTCAGCTGTGTCAAGCTGGTTTCTATCATTCGTACACTTTCTTTTGACCAGGCATCCCTCTCCAACATGGGAAGCGAAGGAAGCCACAGCACACAGAATGACACCCCCCTTGCACATAGTGCGAAAACAACGAAAGAAGGAAGGAAAACGAGTTCTTCTTCAAGCTAAAGTCGATGAGTTGGAAGCTCAGAACAACAAGATAGCAATGAAGAATGAGGTCCTCCAGGAGCAATATGAGAAGCTCTTCGAGACACTCCACGAAGCTAGGCAAGCTCAGACACGCGAGCTTGTTGCCCCCGTGGAAGTCAACCATCAACTGGGTGCCCTCCAACATGGAGGGTCACATGCATTCGACATAGATATCCCTGATAGGGAACAGATTACCCCTCGACTTGATAATCAACATGAGGCTTCTCTTAACCCAGTTGCTTCGACCCGAACCATGAGAAGTGGAGGGAGACACCTCTTTGCTGAAGGGGCAGAAGGATCGAAAGCCGTCTTTCGCGATTGTCGGGATTTCCTGAAGCAACGTCGAGAGAATTCCATCCATATAAGCTCAAAGATCAATGACCCAAGGATTTCTGAGAGACTCGGTCCCCTGCCACGGCCCGAGCCGGCCACCAATTTGGGGAAGGGGCAACAAGTCCTAGAGAGACATGAGGGTACAGGGGACTCAGAGGTGTTCCGACAGACATACCCTGGAAGCCAGTACAACGAGTCCAGGGAAAAATCACATGCCCTTGATCAAACCTTCCTAATTCCAAGAGGAGATGGAGATTTTACGAAAGAAAGCTCCAGTGGCACATAACTCCGCTCAGGACCCCCTTGTCCTACAACTTATTGAGGAAGTAAACAAGTTGAAGGCTGAACGTCAGGCTGAAATACCTGACTGGAACCAACCCAGGCCTGGCCCTCTTACAAGGAGGATCCTCAACACCCCCCTTCAAGCAAAGACAAAGCAAAAGCTTGGCTTGCAACTTTATACTGGAAAAGAGGACCCGATTGAGCACCTTAACCTCTTTGAGTCCACCATGGCATACCGGATGCACACCGACGAAGAGCGATGTCTTCTCTTCCCCTCCACCCTCTCTGGCGGAGCTCTAAATTGGTATTGTCGTCTTACACCTGAGACGGTAGACTCATTTGAGGAATTGAGGAAACTATTTGTTTCCCAACACATTTTCCAAACCGATCGCTTGCACTCTGCAGATGACCTGTACACTATCCGCCAGAAGCCAGACGAGTCATTACGTATGTATGCTGGCCGCTTCAGCCATGAATACTCCCGGTGTGCCGAGGCAGACGACAAGACTGCCCTCAAAGCCTTCACGGCAGGCCTACGTGATTGTTTCTTTAAATACATGATCAATGCCAATACTTGGAAGACTTACTCTGAGGTGATGGCGCAGGCTTATAACCATGCCTCCGCCGAGGCAAAGACATATCAGGAGAAACCCCCTACAACCATCCTTTATCAACAAGTGGGAGGTGGAAGCCAGACTCACCTAAATGAGAAGACCTCGACTTTCCAAACAGCAGTGGCACCTCCCCATGCCTTGCATAATGCTTCGCCGAATCAACAGACATATCAATTTCAAGGCAAGAGGAAGGATTTCCATCCTCACCACTCTCATTTCAGTAAAAAGAGTAAGGGACACTATCCCGATAACCAAGGGTATCGCCACAATAACGCTCGCCCCCAGGCAGTCAATGCAGTGGGTCAAAACCCGCGTCAAGATACCCCCTACCCCAAGGTATGAGACATACACGCCCTTGAATGCCACATGCGCGACCATTTACCCCAGCATAGCTCACCTGATACCAAAGCCAAAGCCGAGGCACCCAGATTACACGCCCCCGAATAACGCGGGCATGTTTTGTTGCTACCATGAGCATAACGGCCATGATAGCGAGAAATGTATCATCCTCCGTGATCGTATTGAAGCTTTGGCACGAGAAGGAAAAATTGATCAATTCCTCCTTCACCCTCAAAGGGATAACCGTAACCAACGCCAGGTGAATGTCATATATTCCATAAGCGGCGGCACACCCATATCTGAATCTTCCAATAGGGCCATGAAAAACAGTGAACGAATTCTGAGGCCTGGTCACCAAGTGTTTCACGTGGAAGACATCAGGGGAGGGAAGTATCAAAAGCCTAACTGGGATCCGATATGTTTCTACCCTGAGGAAAAAGAAGAGGCATCATCTACCCTCATAACGACCCATTGATCGTGGAGGCTCACATAGCCAACTTTGATGTTCGACGAATCCTCGTAGACACAGGGGCTTCGGTCAATATCATGTTTGCCGAAGCTTTCAGGGCACTCAGTGTAGCTGAACACTTGCTCGATCGCTCGATTTCTCCTCTGATAAGCTTCTCCGGTGATATCGTGCAACCCTTAGGGAGCATACATTTACCCTTTACTATTGGTACAGGCCCTTACACGGCTACCATTACCACTAACTTCCTAGTGGTTGACTGCCCAACGGCATACAATGTCATCTTTGGGCGCACAGGCATCAATGATCTCAAGGCTATGGTATCCACGCATATGCTGTTGATGAAATTTCCAACCCCCCATGGCAACGGCTACATCAGAGGAGATCAGCTTAGTGCACGATCATGTTACAACACTTCAGTTAAGCAACAACACTTGCCCGGACCCAAGGAAACCCTGTCTGTACATGACCAAGTCACAAAGACCAGCTTAGATGAAGCGAACTTGGATCTTCCTGATAGCAACAATCAACCCGATGATCCTCGAGATGACTCTTTCACCCAGCAAGCCCAACCTGCTGAAGAGTTGGAGAAGGTACCTATCTCAAGAGATTATCCAGATCGCATGGTGAAGATTGGCACCACATTGTCACCACCCCTTCGGTTAGCATTGATATCTTTTTTGAAAGAGAACACTGAAGTCTTCGCCTGGTCATACGAGGACATGCCAGGCATCTCTCCCGATGTCATCTGTCATCGTTTGAGTATTGACCCCAAGATCAAGCCGGTGAGACAGAAGCGAAGATCTTATGACGCTGAACGATACGAGGCAATGAAAGCAGAAGTTGAAAAACTCAAAGGCATAGGCTTTGTCCGCGAAGTCAATTACCCGACATGGGTAGCAAATGTGGTCCTTGTTAAGAAAAATCCGACCAAAGAAAGTCTTTTGCTTCAAAAGGTCTTGTGGAGAATGTGTGTTGACTACACCGACCTAAACAAAGGGTGTCCGAAAGATAGCTTCCCTCTTCCTCTTATTGACAGACTTATAGACTCTACGGCCGGATGTGAACTCCTGAGCTTCATGGATGCTTACTCAGGATACAACCAAATCCTCATGAACCCTTCGGATCAAGAACACACAGCCTTCACTACCGACAGAGGACTATACTGCTACAAAGTCATGCCTTTCGGCCTAAAGAATGCAGGAGCGACTTATCAGAGACTAGTCAACTCAATGTTCGCCGAGCAGATTGGGAAGAGCATGGAAGTTTACGTTGATGATATGTTAGTCAAGAGCAAAACATGCTGACCAACACATCACCAACCTATATGAAACTTTCACTATTTTGAAGAGGTATCGAATGAGGTTAAACCCCAACAAATGTGCCTTCGGCGTAGGCTCTGGCAAATTCTTAGGTTTCATGATTAGCCAACGAGGCATTGAAGCTAATCCCGAGAAGATCAAAGCAATCCTCGACATGAAGGAACCGGTAACTTCAAAGGACATCCAGAGCCTTACTGGCAAGGTGGCAGCCTTAACCAGGTTCATTTCTAAGGCCACAGACAAATGTGCTCCCTTTTTTTAAAGCACTTAAGGGAAGTAGGAAGTACATTACATGGACTGATGAATGTGCCGAGGCATTCAAAAACCTCAAGGAGTACATGAGTAAAGCCCCTCTACTCTCCAAGCCCGAGGTAGGAGACATTCTCATTATCTACCTATCGGTATCAGCTTCAGCCGTAAGTTCCGTTCTCATTCGAAAGGATGGGAATATTGAGCGACCTGTCTACTACGCTAACAAAGCCTTACAAGATGCGGAGACACGGTACTCTAACATTGAGAAATTGGCTCTGGCATTGGTCATGTCTGCTCGAAAAACTCCGCCCTTACTTCCAAGCGCACTCCATCATCGTGCTTACCAATTATCCTCTTCGACAGATACTCCAAAGTCCTGACACTTCAGGGCGAATGATCAAATGGGCAATAACGTTGGGTGAGTTTGACATCTCCTACCAACCAAAGCCAGCTGAGAAGGGCCAAGCAGTGGCAGACTTCATTGCCGACTTCACATATCCGGTTGACATTGCTTCTACACCTGAAGCAGTGGCTTCATTACCCCCGGAAGCTCAGAAGATAGAACCAACAACCCCAGCATGGAGTCTGTATGTTGATGGCTCATCCAACCAACAGGGCTGTGGAGCGGGACTAGTCTTGACTACGCCCG